AAATAATGCTGGGGTTGGTTCGGCAACGTCCTGTAAAAGATACAGGATAGCTTGTGACAACACAATTCGCAAGTTCATTGAAAGGATACAGAACAGCTGCAACCTAATTCACCAGCTATGGACTGACCTCCTTCTCCTTCAGTTGCAGTCATCAGTGTGTCGTAACTCGCTCTTTTATAAGCACACTCGAAATCCAGTGCTACCGCCATAATTTCCTGTCTATTCTGGAACCCTTCATAGACGCCAGAAGCAAAAGTGGGCGTATTTGCAGATGTGGCCACTTTTGCTTTTGAAGTCTGTCAATGCAGAGACTGGCAAGCAGGTGCCACGGAAGTGGAAATTCAACAAATAATTCAAGATAATGCTCACTCTGAGTATCTGATCATTTACACAGACGGTTCAGTGTCAAGAGGCAAAAGAAGTGCCTGAGGTTTCTTAGCAAATATTAATGGGCAACGTTTTGTGCAGGAGAGCCTAGCATATAATACCACAACGTCAGTTTGAGAATGGAGGTGGAGGCGGTCACTGCAGCTTTCCGCTGGCTAGAGAACATGACACACACACATCGTGATTGTAACTGACTCAGAAAGCATGCTGAGGAAGATCATGACAGGTATGCTTTGTGTAGAGTGGCATGCCTTGCTGCAGCGGACACGGGTGAGGAGTATTGTCTGGATTTTTTTTATCACCGTAGTACTCCTGTGTTTTGGGAAACGAACAAGCGGACAGACTGGCTGGCTCTGAAAACTTGGTGGAATACTGATGCATGATAAGGCAGACGTGGTTAGTGCCTTGTGGGATAGCGCGTACAGTTTGCAGGAGCAGCTGGATCACATCAGTCTGGTGAGATTGGTGCAGGGGGAAGTGACGAAAGGTTCTGGCAGATGCTCGAGGCTCAGAGTAAAGGCAGGGCAGACGCTTATCAGAATCCTACTGGCACCATCAGAATGCCCCGAGTGCTGTGATGTCGATTCTTGAATGAAATTAAATTAAATCTGTAAAGGATATGCAACTAACTTCAACAGTCCACACCAACCACGCTGTTGGGTCAAACGCCCAGCGGTTACGTGTTTCAGAGATGAACCGAACTGAGACCGTTGTGTCGGCAAAGCTTCTTTCTACCTATTAAAATTACTATATGTACATGAGTTCTGCCCTGAACATGTTATGAAAGCCGTCCTGAGTAACGTGATGAAAAAAACATATTTAAAAAATATTTTACAATCTGCTTGCCAGTCATCTTTTTTTAATGTCCACGCGTTCAAATGTAAAACAATCCAATAATTTAACTCTTTAACATTACAATCACTGTATAATTCGGATATTTAAAACGAAAATACGTTCGTAATTGTCACTGTATAACATTATTAACTGTATTTACGTTAACCCGCAAAATAATTTATCGTTAACGAGTCTCATATTGAGGACAGTGGAGAAACCGCGGGCCAGCTGGCAAGTGGAGGAGGTAAGATCAAACTGACACGGCCGGGCAGAGCAGACGTAGACCAGTGTTGCCACTTTGGATCTTTTATATCCAAATTTAGATCTTTTTCATTGCATTTTGATACCGTTTTTGACGTTTAGATCGTAAATATTTTTCTAGATTCTTTTCATAGGGAGTTAGATATTTTATAGATTTTTTTTTCTTTCATTGTCAATTTGTTAATTACTGTGTAAAATATTCACTACAATATTTTTGTTTTGGTCTGGCACGTACATTGTCACAACTGCCATTACTTTAACTTTGAACTCTCACTGGGGCCAACGCACAAATATCTGGCAGCCCCTGTACTGATTAATAAAAACGCGCGTAAATCATACAAACTTTGTTTCAACCGTATCCTCACTGTGCTGACTTTGCGTTTCTTTTTCATGTGATTTAAAAAAATAATTGCTCACCTTCTTATGTGGCTTTCACTTTGAAAAAACCTTTCAACATGCCAAAAGTAAAGTATGAGCAAAAAATTTGGAAAGAGTGGTTGAATGATGACAAAATTAAAAACTGGGAATTTGACCAAAGCTTGTTGTAAGTTCTGCAAGTGTGAAATTAAAGCGAAAATACAAAACTCAAAGAGTCATGCAGAGACTAAAAAAGCATAAAACCGCAGTTTCATTTAAAGATATTACACCGCTGACATCTGTTTTCAGAACTATACTGATAAATGAATCATCAAAAGTTGAAGTAACAGTCGCAATGTTTTTAATTTGACACTGAAAAATTTCAAACTGTTACCATTTTATCGATTTGTAAAAAATCCTGGACTAGTTCAATTTGAAAAGTGTGGTGTAGAAAGTATAGTTTAAGAACTGAAGGACCTTTTAATCAGCAAACAGTTAGGCTTGAAGAATTTAGCTGTAATTAGTACTGATAATGCCTCAGTGATGGTTGGTATAAACAATGGCGTTTATGCCAAGTTGAAGGAAGCTAACCCATCGTTAATACTTATAAAATGTATGCGTCATTCATTGCAGCTAGCATTATCACATGCTTCATCTAAATATTTACCAAGGAATTTGGAATACCTTATTGCTGAAACACTTTACTGGTTTTCCAAATCATTTGTCAGACAACAGCAATACAATACATTATATACAGCATTGAATGATGGTTCCACACCACCTAAAATTCTGTCAGATTGCAAAACTAGATGGTTATCAATTTAACCAGCTGTTGAAAGAATTATGAAGCAATGGCTGAAGTTAAAGACACTTTGAAATAACAAGACAAAGTGAAAAGTGCTACACAACTGAAATACTATATGGAATGTACAGTGATGAAAAAAATTTGCCATTCATTATCTTTTTATAACCTATTCTAATGGAAGTGCAAAAAGTAATAAACTGTTCGAATCTAAACTTGTTGATTAAGTTAAATTACTTGATGATCTCACCTTGCTATTTCACTCGGTAAAAGACCTGTGTTGCCAACTTCTAAAGCTGATTTGCTCACTGCACTATAGAGAGCTATTTGGCTCCTAAGCCACACCTTGGATATTAAATCGAATCAAAATTGATGATTTAAAAACAAAAGGACTGTTAACAGAGAATGAAGAAAACAACTTAAGAAAACGCTGTCAAGATTTCCTTATCTCATTATTGAAGTAATTGAAGCAGAGACTTCCTGAAAATCTAGATGTTTTGAAAAAAATTTTACTTTTTTTCTGTGAATAACATACTTCAGCCAATAAATGACATAGCTAAATATTGTAAAGTTATGAAATTTTTAGGAGCTACTGATAATAGTGTCACGGAAGCAGAATATCAGTTAACCAAAAAAAAAGTTAGCTGAATGGACAAACAAAACAGAAACTAAAGCGTTTTGGAGTGAAGTGAGACAATTTTAAGATGCCTCATCAAACAGTCCATTCTATAAGCTCTTTAAAGTGCCATGTCTGCCATGATACTACCCCACTCAAATGCTGACGTAGAAAGAGTTTTCAGTGCTAGGAATTATATCAAATCTAACCTAAAAAACAGGATGAAATTTGACCTCTCAAATGCTATCGTGCCATTAAAATTTGGCCTGATGAGACTAGAGAAATAAGCCTACTGTTCCACTTATAAATAAATTTGAACAGCTAAAGCATACCAGGGTCATTTTGGATCTGAAGCTTCAACTTCATTATCCAAGCTAAGTTTATCCTGTGGATCTTGTGTGGCAGACATTAGTGAAGGTGAGGACATGATTATATAGGGTAAGTCATAACAAAAGCGATGTAATTTTTGACTTTTTCAATTTGGATGTTTTTTCTAGATCTTTTCCACGCAGATTTAGATCTTTTTAGATATTTTTAAACACCGTTTTGGATATTTTTTGTCAAAGAAAAGTGGCAACACTGACGTAGACGGTAGACAGACACAAGTTTGGTTTTGTCCGTTGGAGCTGTTGTCGGTAATTTCTAGATTAATGACCCTACACGTCGGTCGATGGGGGTGGAAAAGGAAATTATAAGTCCTGGAGACGGTATGTATTGTGCACGAATTTACTTATATTCATATGTTTGCCTGTGTTGTTGGGATGGAGAGAAATGAGTCTGTGCTAGCGCTAGCAGACGGCGAGACAGACAGGGCTTGTCCTTACCTAACTCCATTACTTCGGTACGACATTCAGTCACAGCTCCGTCCAGCTCGCACTGGTCACTATGACCTGCTGAATTGCTGAACATGTCCGAGGAATAGGCTGCGTTCATTTCCAGGCTAGAAAAGGTTGAACTTTACAAGACTGGAGATTTGCGCCATTCTTTTTGTTCACTACGAAATTACATATTCGTTGCTTACTGCTGTTGCAGTAAGTAATTTTACTTTGACAGTTTCTAAATGATTATACGGGAGCTTCAGTCATTGTCTGTTAGTTCAAGAGAAGCTAATAACGTCAGATCGATTAAGGATTTCGCCTACAGTAATCAATTCTATTTTCCCCCTGCATGAGTAATGGTAGTAATTTAAAAGATATCATGTTCATTCTATCTCGGTTATAATTATATTAGTATTACCTTTCATTGTCAGCTGAAGCAGACATGGGATTTGAACAGTTCAGAGACCATTGTTATTTCTATTCAGGCTATCTTCCGAATAACGGCCAAAAATTTACCCTAACAGGGTCTCAGTCAATGTCAATTGCACACTTCCGGCAACTACCACCACCGCCGAGAGTATCTCACATGCCGCTACGCGCAGGGTGGATTGGGATAAACTAGATGGCTGGGACTCACGAGCAGCAACTACCACATCTCCTGCTGCTTCCTTCATTTTATTTGCTTGTGAGTCCCAGCCATCTAGTTTAGCCCCAGTCCACGCCGCTATGCGCGGCGTGGGAGATACTCTAAGCGGTGGCAGAAGTCCACAATTGACCCTGTTAGGGTATATTTGTAGCCTCTATAATTTGGGACCGTTATTAGGAAGATAGCCACTATTCAAAAATGCTTCATGTGTGTATAGAAAAATTCTTGCTAATATTACGGAGAGAAACAGATAAGTAAAGAATCTGTCAACCAAAAAATGCTTTTTCTCCTGTCCTTCAAGCCCCCAGTGTACCATAGATCCATTCAAAGCTACACTGTCTTTCTCTACATCCTGCAGTTCACCGCCTGTCTGTCTCTTATCAGTAATTATCACACTAACAATTGTTAGGAACTCTGTATTCTTTTTCCTCCAGGGGATTCCACTGTAATGACATTTTAGTAATACTATCTTTTCCTCACTTCCTTTTTCATTTGAATTTTGTATCTCCCTAGGCTCTACATTTGTGATAATGTCACATGATTTACTTATAACTATAGGCTTGTCTGACCATTTCTTGTAGGTTTGTGTTTACCTTTATTTTGTTCAGACATCACTTAAATGCAGCAAACTGCTTCACAATTCTGAAGTACCCAGTTCAGTTTCAGCTGCAGGAGATTTGACAGCAGAGCGCTTTGCAATAATGTCAACAGTGGTGTTGAGAGCCGACTGTTGAGTCAGCAAAGGAAATCTACTGAGTGTAAAATGTGCTTAGTGAAATCACAGTCAGATAGTGCTTGGATTGGTTCCTGTCAAGGCTGCCCAACTAAAAACTTACTGTTCCTCAAAGTAACCCAACCACGACACACCAACCACAAGGTTTGCTCGACCCTCCAGTGATATGCTATTATAGATCTAGAATTGTTCTGGGACTGTTTAGGTAAGAGGTAAACCAGCCAGTGGTCTCCTGCATCAGTTGCCCTGAGCAGGTTATGAAAACCATACCTGAGTGAAGTAAAACAGTATTTTGCTGGGTTCCAACAGTGGTCTCCTGCATCAGTTGCCCTGAGCAGGTTATGAAAGCCATACCTGAGTGAGGTAAAACAGTATTTTGCTGGGTTCCAACAGTGGTCTCCTGCATCAGTTGCCCTGAGCAGGTTATGAAAGCCATACCTGAGTGAAGTAAAACAGTATTTTGCTGGGTTCCAACAGTGGTATCAAGAGCCTACCATTCAGTAAGTAAGCACAGATAAACTCCTGAACATTCAGTTGCCTCATTAAACAAACAGCCAAAATAAATGCTGGGTTTGGTTCTGCAATGTCCTGTATCATGATACATAATTATCAGTGATGTAGATATGTGAGTGTGTTGTGTTGTTGGTCCATGATAAGTGATGATGACCACTCTTTCATTCATCTGTCATAAAACTGTAGTTGGTTGTCTGTGAGTCCGGAGATGACATAAACCCAATACCAGCCCAGAAAGATCTGGGACAGTGAGGACAGGGAATAGTGGTGAAAGAGTGACTTGTGTGAGGAATTAGTTTAAAGTAAGGTAGAGTTGTAGATGTACACTCTTGTCTGCAGCAGAATTAATTGTGATTTCTGTCACTGTTATATTATTCTGTCTACCAGGGACCTGTGCACTGCAGTAGTTCAGTTTGTTGCCATCACTCAGATGTCATTTCAACCACTCAGGTGTCATTTCCACAATGTAGGCTGGCTATAGCATATACTCAACACTCTGTGTCTCTAACCCTAGTTGCAGTGCTGACAGATTGCTTCTCGTCCATCTCTTCGTATTATTAGTTAGTTATTCGCTGTCGACAGATTGCTTCTCGTCCATCTCTTCGTATTATTAGTTAGTTAGTCGACAGATTATCCTGATTGTACATCCAACCATTCTAGACATTATTATTCCATTTTAATCCTTATCTATCCCTTGCTCCTCACATTTTCCCTCTAGTATGTTGTTTTTTAACAGTGTCGTGATGTTTATGCTGGCCTTGACATTTTGCTTGCTTCTTTTTTCTTGTTATTGCAACAGCATGTCTCTGTTAGGCTGCAGGATCTTTCATTTATTTCCTTGCTTCCGCTTGAGGCTGCTCCGTCAGCACAGCACGGCTATAATGGTGGCAGTACACCTGCTGTACTGCAAAATCCTAATGGGACAAGTACCACTGTTTGGCTCCCACTTCTGTTTAGTTTTCAATGTATTTTCTCATACAGAGTCTGCTTTTATAGAAGGATGATGAGAACATCTTGGAAAAATACAAAGATTAATGATTATGTCTTCAAATAAATTAACTAATAAAGATAGCTCACTATGTGCATTAGAAGCAATCTACCATCTGTTGGCATATTATGAGAAAGGAAGATTGGAATACATTAGAACAATAAGAAATTTGGAGAAGAAGAGAGGAGACTAAGAGAACAGATTATTGATAGTTTGCCATCATGCCATGAAAGATGGTCTGTATCAGATTTGACTGCACACAAAACAATAGGCTGTTACCAAGGTAACACCGCAGGGGCTACAAGAATAATTGGCGAGTCCTTTTGTGTGTATGCAGGAAGTCAACAACCAAGCTCATTGTGAGCTCAGTGTGTTTTTAAATGGTTACAGGATTGTGTCATTTTCTTTGCAGTTCTTACTCTCGTCATTGCATTTCTTACTCTGGTCATTGCACTTATTACTGGGATCACTGAACTTCTTATAGGATAATTGCACTTCTTTCTGTGATCATTGTGCATCTTTCTGTGAGCATTGCAATGTTTACTGGGAGCATTGTGCTTTTTGTTTAAATCATTGCACCTCTGTGAGTGATCATTACACTTCTCTTTGTGATCTGCACTTTTTTTTTTCCTGTGATCATTACACTTCTTTCTGTAACCAGTGCGGATAAGTGAGTAAACAGGCTGCTAATGAATTGTATTTTTTGTTTTGCAGGAGCCACTTACCCAAAAGCAGGTCAGACAGTTGTGATACATTACACAGGTGAGTTGGCCTTAGTTTGTGCATAACATCAGCACTACATGCACACAATACCACTTGCATATATTAAAAAATATGTGTCATTTCATATTGGGCCTGTATTTACATACTTTTTGAAGAAAATATTCGGAAAAAAGTGAACAATAGATGTATCATTTTTTTGATGAGAGAGTCCGTGGGGGATGTGATACATACTAGAAGTGGAGATCTTCAACAGTGTTAACCATTGTACCGCAGTATGGGGACGTGCATTGTCATTTTGCAAAAAGACACCTGTACTCATGAGTCCACATTGTTAAAATTTGATTGCAGGACAAAGGTGATTTCTGAGAGAATATATATATTTATCACTGGTGATAATTTTTCCTCTTGGCATGTGATGCTCTAAAATAAAACCTCATTCATCCTAAAATAGAGTCAGCATAACCTTCCTGGCATGCAGATGGCTCCTGGTTGTGAATCCAGCTTTTATCTTAGGTAACAATTTTTGATACAAACCATCACCTTCTGTTTTAAAGCACCACAAAAGTTCTTGACAAGCATCAGTATCTTGTTTCAGTTCTGGAGTAAGCTGCCATGGCGCCCACCCTGCACACACTTCGCAGTACTGTAGCACATCTTCGATGATGTAGCAGGTTGAACCTTGTCCAATTTCAAGAAGTGCAGCGATGTCACTCACAGTCAGTCTGTGGTTTTCTTGTACATAGCCCTCACTGGTAGTAATCTACTCTTGGGTCACTACTCGGTGTGTCTGACCTAGTCCTGACCAGTCTGTCACAGAAGACAAGCAGTTTTGAAACTTCTTACTCTATTGATACACATGCTGAACTGACAGACATGCATCACAAACTGGACCTTCGTGTGCCGATGAACTTCTATAGATTTGACCCCATCACTGATCAGACCACGTATGACAGAATGCTGCTCCTCTTTGGTGAATGTCAGAAATGACTCTTCATGTTTGTCTGCACGTTGATGGCATGTACTGCTGAATACTTTTGACATTATTAACAACAATATTGATAGGTTAGAAGACAAAAGACCGGTTACTGTAATTTCTGTCACACTTTTAAGGTTTCGTTTGAAACCTCCTCAAACATGCTCTTTGTAAACTAATTTATTGTTTTCACACACACGTGCGCGTGTGGGCGTAAGGAACTGTCCAGACAGTCTCATAATAATGCAGTAATAATGCAGTAACTAGCAACCCGACATACCAGTCTCTTATCAACAGAAGAAGAGAATGATCAAATCAATCAGAATGCCACCGAAATTGGCACAAGACGATTACCATATTATGGACAGACCAGAGCAAGTCATTGTCCTTCGCCTTAGAATAGGGCACAATTGACTTCACTGCCAAATGTACAACAAATTTAAAATTGGCCAATCAGCCATGTGTACTTGTGGACTGGCACCTGAGACAGCAGATCACATCCTCCAAGACTGTCCCAGATTCAACGCTTCCAGGCAAAACTTCTGGCCAAAAGAGACACTTGTGGAAGTCAAACTTTACGGGCCGTTTAGTGAATTAAAAAAGACAGTGAAATTCATACTAAAGACAGCATTGCAGATATAATTTATTTCATGCGAACGAAAAGGAGAAGAATGCAGTAACTTCATATATGCAGTGTCTTCACTAGCAACTTCTGTAGTCACCTATATCTTTCCTCATGTTTGATTGTATCTTTTATACTTTTGCAGCATCTTTAGTTAGTGGACAGAAGATAGATTCGTCCCGTGACAGAGGAAGCCCTTTCAAATTTTGTATAGGCAAAGGAGAGGTGATCAAAGGTTTGTTTGCAGATTTGATCTTATGTGTACCTCAGAATAGAATGTAGCACATTATATGGGATTAATTTCATCACAGAATAGAAAATAATGATTATACAGTGTTTATATCATCACAGAATCTAAAGTAATGATGTTGTTTTCATTACAGTTTAGAGAATAATGTTTATACGATGTTTATATCATCACAGAATAGAGATTCATATCATCAAAGAATGGATCATATTTATTATATGATGTTCATATCGTCACAGACTAGAAAATAGCGATTATACGATGTTCGTATCAACACAGAATAGAAAATAGCAATTATACGATGCTCATATCATTACAGAATAGAAAATACTGATTATGTTATATTCACATTATCACAGAATAGAAAGTAATGATTATATGATATTCATATTGTCACAGAATACGAAATACTGATTATGTGATATTCATATCATCACAGAATAGAGAATACTGATTATACAATGTATTATCCCATAATAAAAAATATTGATTATACAATTGTTCATATCATCAGAGAATAGTGAATAATGATTATTTGATATTTATGTGATGACATAAACATCATATAATCATTATTCACTATTCTCTGATGATATGAACATTGTTTAATCAATATTTTCTATTATATTATTAGTTAGTTAGTTGACAGATTATCCTCATTGCACATAGAACTATTCTTGACATTACAAATTTCATCGCTACTTAACGTTAAATTTGCCATGAACAACCACAACACCCAAAAAATGCTGGTGTTGGTTCTGCAACGTCCTGTAAAGGATACGCAACTAACTTATGTCATCACAGAATAGAAGATACTGATTATACAATGTTCATATCGTCACAGAATAAAATATTTAAGGCTGTTTACTTAATTAAAGAATAGGAAATAATCATTATATGGTGTTTATCTCATTGCGGGATAGAAAATAATCATTATATGTTGTTTCTCACCCATGGAAAGAAAATAATACGTTAAAGTGTTTGTTGCCATTAATTGCTGCAGTGTCAGTGCATATTTTCATGCAACCTTTTCCTGTAGTGTTCTAAGAAGATCAGGTTATATGTTGACTTTGACAAACTTGATGATTTCTGTCAAATCAGGTTGGGATGAAGGTGTTTCAAAGGTAAGCTGAACAGTCTTGTCACACTGAATATTTCAGTACTTAACATAGTTGGCAACTCACTGATTCTAACACAACGAGCATATCATAGTTTTTAAATGGTGCTTACTCTAGTAGATATCATTCTTCTTCTGCATTTTGCCGTATTGTTTTGTGGTTTACAGCTAGACTGCAATATCTGTACTAAAAAAAGTGAAGGTCAAGAGGATCAACTTCATTGCACTGGGTTTTATCCCATAGGGCTTGGTCTCTCTCCGCAGAACAGCTAGACGCCTGCCGAGAGCGCCGCGCAGAGCATGAACTCCTTAGCTCCAGCGATGATCTCCTGCACTCGTGAACTGTAGGGCGCAGCCGGGAAACTAACCCACGACCGTCATAGTGTGAGGCAAACAGCTTGACCACTTTACAGTGGAGACCACCCAATATCTGTACTTTCTGGCCCAACACTTGTGATTTTAACAAACCCCTAATTAGTTGCCTTTTAGGTCATGCTTGTTGTTTGTTGAAGGGGAAGATAGGGGCGTAAATAAGTAAACATCATTGCTTTGATTTAATAATTAAGCATAACGTTTGAAGAAAAAGCTGATTTATAAACAGTATTATCTCTGAAAAATCAAATGACCTGGAGGTTAAACATTACGGTGGGTATAGAAAGACATGATTCCTGGCTGAAAAGTCAGGAGTAGGCGACCATGAAAGCGAACACCTAAAATTGTGCGCAAGGCAAAAAACTGACTGGTGTGCTGAGAGTGATGTTTAACAAAGAGCCCACTGCATGAACAATGAATAATTCTTGTTATTATTAATTGATTGAAATGTTTTCACCAACCTGTTGTTACTTATAGCTAAGCAGTTGCTACTTATTACTTAGAATGGACATTTTCGTTGACTCACTGTTGAAAGCGTCATAAGTGCTTAGTCTTCATTTCATCATCATCATGTAGTAGGTACTGTCTAGAACATCATGGTCGTGGGTCAAGTCTCTGACCTCTGCCTGAAGTGATTCTTTTAACGGCTTAGTGGTCTCTATAGCCTCCACTTAGAGAACACAAGAAAAGGTACAAGTCTTTCTCTTGAACAGAATGATGGCTAACCTGGAAGGCTAACCCGGTCAACAAATGCCCCCCCCCCCCATCAATAAAGTGCAGTGTGTCTGTTACAGTAGAACTGAAACAGACGATGCCTCTAAAGGTGCCCCTACTGCTTACCACCAGAAAAAGGCCTTCTGTGAGATATATATATATATATATGTGTGTGTGTGTGTGGGCATGTGCACATGTATATGTGCATAGTTGTCTGGTTTTATTTTCTATATTTCAACATGTCATATTTGTGTATTATATGCCTTGTCTTCCAGATGAGCCGGGGAGAAAGAGCCAGACTCGTATGTTCCCCAGACTTTGCTTACGGTACCAGAGGTTACCCCGGTGCATATCCTTTTACCTGCCTGTTTGTAGAGAACTTGTCTGATTGATGTGTAACCAGGTGATTGGTAATCCTGGCTACAGTCTACCTTTGTCGGCAGTTCTTCTGTGCACTGTTTTCCGCTTTATTCTGTCCTCGTATACAGTGTTTCCCTGTGAAAGTTCTAGGGTTCTATTGTGGAATGACCCACGGCGCCCCTTACAAGCATGTTGTAAATGGTGACTAATTAGGGGTGTTTCGTTCAGCTGCCTTAGAGGTGAGGAACCAACAGTCTGCATACAGATAAGCCAGATTCCCCATGTGGGTTCCATGGCCCCAATGTGGGGGAAACAAGAATAACCCACTGTCTCCCTAATAAGTCTGTCATAGGGGTCGACTAATTTGAAGCTTCTTTTGAAATGGAAATGCATCTGCCTGAGGGGCAAGGAACAACCAACTGCACACAAGTAAGCCAGTAAAATGGATGTAGATGCAAAAAACAGACCCTGACCCAAAGCTAAAGCCCAAATGGACAGCCAGGACTTTCTGTGAGAGTTTGCAGCTGGTGAAAGCCAAGAAGAAGTAGTATCCAGTGTTTTAATACTTCAGGCACTAGAAAGTTTGACTTTTTCAGCAGTGTATCTATATTGGAGCAGCTTAAAACTTGATGACAGTTGTGTCTTGATGTTCCAGGCCATAGCAAAGGATATATGTTGACTGGGGCCAAGCGATTACCACAACTGGCCATTGATTGGGATACCCAAGTTCGACCCAGGGAAAAGGAGGAGGAAGCAGAGAGGAAGAAGTCGGACATCATTACCTCATAAAACCACTTCTAGGTTCTTGTGTAGTATATTTCAGCATTCACCCTTTCACTGCTGCCTTTTACCTGCTGCACTACGTTTTTCAGAAAACTGAAATATGCTAGGGAAGTTTCATATGGAATTCCCTATGTGGGCTCTCCGGGGAGGGGGCAAATTAACAGACTTGTTGTAAAAGGTGACAAATTATGAATTTTCTGAAATAAAATGTATTAGGCTGAAAACTGCTGATATCACAGCCTAGCTATAAACCACAGCACAACTTGCCAGCTAGTTGGTTTTTTTTTTTTTTGGGGGGGGGGGGGGGGGGGGTGAGCGCAGAAGATGATATGGTAATACTAGTTAACTAGACAGTGTGAATAAGGTAAGTAAAACATTGCATCACTAGCAACCTCTCACAATCATTAGACTCAGAATAGTTGGCATATGTTTTAATTACATGTCTATATACTATAATTTTCCTTGTTTAAGTCTCTGTTCACTACATTTGTTGTTTACAATTGGGGCTCGTCTTGTACACAGAATATGTTTTAAATGTTTTTTTGGTACTTAATTTATAACTTACCCCTGACGTCACGACAACGTCACAGGAGACATTCCCAATAAATTCTAGGGTGTTCGGGTTGTAGTTTCTCGCGATTTATCTACAGCCAAGTTTAGGGTTAGGGTTAGCATTAGAAGACATAGATGAACATTCAAAAAAAGCACCACACAACAGCACACTTCCACCCCTTGAAATAATGGACTGTCAGGTCAGCTGTGGATTTCCCACAGGGATTTTGTGTTTGGGGTACGTTATAAATTAAGAACCTGTTTTTTTTTCTTATTTGTGGACCAGAAAAATAGGACCTTTTTCCATGCCTTCAGGCATTTAGGGCTAGACCTGTATTTTATAGACCATTCGGCACTGGGTGGCTGATGTGATCAGCATTGCCCCGGCCAGGTTTACTTCCCAGGACTGTACCCACTCACTGCTAGGTTGACCTGAGAGCCACGGCCCTTACTTTTAAATTCAGGCTCTGTCAGGACTCAAACCCATGACTTTCTGATCTACAGGCAAGCGTCTAAAAAACTAGGGGTCAAACTGGGTATGTGGGTGTCTTATGCACGGAAACATATGGTACTCCTGAACCTGCTTATTTTGTTTATCAGTGAACTCTGTGCACTCATGGACCTTGACCACTAGCCACTATCCCCAGAAATGCCACTCTGATTTTTGATATTGAGCTCTTGAAGATGGAGTGAAAGATGATCACACAATGGCAGGCGGCTGCTTCTTGTCACCGTCACATCACACAGTGTTCAAGTGAGCCAGCTTCTGCATTACTGTAAACATGGTATCATATTGTGTAGTTTCCGCACGCCAGCATCATGTCAAGTCATGGCCCTGTGTTGGTGATATAACTTCCCTGTTGTCATGCCTGTGTTTGGTTTTGTTGCATTTGCTGACTGGTATTATACTCTTGAAAGTAGTGTGTGTGTTGTACAGGGACAATGCAGAATGTTTGATATACACAAATGGAAAACCTAGTTATCCCCAGTTTTTAGAAATTATGGCCACAGTTAGACTTTTTTGACAGTTTTCTAAAATTGTATGGAGACTGACACAGTTTTGTGAGAATGAATTATTTTGCTTTTCGTTTTATTGTTTTCAACATTTCTAGTTTCTTTGGCTGCTGTTGTATGCTGTTTTGTATAGGCGTGTAGTCTTGCACACACTGCAGAAATATGCACACAAGCTCTGGCAACACTTGTTAGATCTCTGCCAGGAAGTCCTTGCACACATGACAGACATGCACACAAGCTCTGGCTACACTTGTTAGATCCATGCCAGGAAGTCCTTGCACACATGGCAGACATGCACACAAGCTCTGGCAACACTTGTTAGATCTCTGCCAGGAAGTCCTTGCACACATGGCAGACATGCACACAAGCTCTGGTTACACTTGTTAGATCCCTGCCAGGAAGTCCTTGCACACATGGCAGACATGCACACAAGCTCTGGCAACACTTGTTAGATCCCTGCCAGGAAGTCCTTGCACACATGGCAGACATGCACACAAGCTCTGGTTACACTTGTTAGATCTGTGCCAGGAAGTCCTTGCACACATGGCATACATGCACACAAGCTCTGGTTACACTTGTTAGATCCCTGCCAGAATGTCCTTGCACACATGGCAGACATGCACACAAGCTCTGGTTACACTTGTTAGATCCCTGCCAGGAAGTTCTTGCACACATGGCAGACATGCACACAAGCTCTGGCAACACTTGTTAGATCTGTGCCAGGAAGTTCTTGCACACATGGCATGGATGACTATGCTGATAAACATGAAAAAAAAAAACTTTTAAAATCTTTTTTATTGACATGCTTAAAAACTACGGCTTCATCTGCTGTAGTCGTGCCAGTTGGTCCCAGGATTTCTGGCATCTGGAAATGTGTGCTGTTCTAGGTTGTGACTTGTTGTATGTGTGTAGTCAGTAACTGTAGTTATTTCAACCTGTCCATTAAAGTTTGAAGAGATCCCCTTCATCATTCCCAGACTAGTCATACTTAGCTAAAGAAATCTGGCTACCCCAGTGACATCTTGCAGTTTGTGTTTATTCTGATGAAAATTAAATGCACACTTGAATGTTCACTTTCCTCTGAAGTCAGAGTGCATCTGCCTTTACAGGTGAGTAACCAACAGTCTGCGTATAAATAAGCTAGAGGATGTGCAGGCAAAACTCAGGTCCTGGAACCAGACTTAAGTCAGTGGATGGACATCCAGAACTGTTCTGCCAGAGCTTGCAGCCGGTGAAGAAGAATGTTCATGGCGGTAATTTTTCACCTTGAACATCTACAGTAAAACCTTTTGAAACAAGCGTTCCAACAATGTTTTGTGCTAGACAAGGCTATATTTCCGTAGTGTAAAGGACCTAACTGTGTACCTTGAGCTGTTAGGCATACGATGCTAGTTCCATGTTTGTATGAACCTGTGGGTGCTCGCTGGAGGGTGCGGTCTGCACCAATCACACTGGACAGCTGAGTGTGTTTCCTGTTACCCATTCTAGACTATGTCCGAGTCCACTCCAGTTTTTCAGAACCATTTCTCTGTAGAGTTTCAAAGTCTGATTTGACGGGGGTGAGCAGAAATTACCATACAAAGCATACATGGAAAGAGAAGAAGGACGTAGAGCATGAGGTAGACCAAGAACAATATGGAAGGATAACATCAGAGAAACTCTACAACAGCACGATGTGCCTATGGTCGGTCAGCCAGAAGAGCTAGAAACAGAACCTAATATCTCCCTCGACACCCACAGCAGTAAAAGAGGAAGTGAAGAAGAAGAAGAAGAAGAGCAGAAATTCTGGAAGATTTACAACACTGAGCGGGGAAACAGGCCGACTCTTAATCAGAATACAACTGGTACTGTTAGCAAGTCGAATCTTCGTTGGCTATTGAAGAAGGAAGACGGAGCACGTGTGGAAATGTCCCGTGTGCAGTAATGTCAGTCCTTGATTGATTGATTCATTTATTTATTTATTTATTCGGTGGGGTTTCAGACATATGAGTGGGTGAGATCAACAGCTGATTGTGCCAGAAACACGTACTCAACCTGTATACAATCAACATACAAGCCCATGGATATCAGCTGAGGGTGACTGAGCACTTAAAGTTTATCTACAGTGCCAAGACTTCAGCTGTCCTACACAACAGTGACTGTTCTGCTTCTCATGTTGTCCAGCTCTTGTTGAGTGACAAACAAGAGTTTGCAGCCAACCTGTGCTAACTGAATTGCTGTAGCCCTTACTACTTCTCCACTATGTTGTTTCATGTCTCCAGGTTGGCTATAGTTTTTGTTTTTTTGGATGTCTAATTTCATTTGTTTAACATTTCTGACCATTAAATTTGAGATCTGTGGATATTTTCCCCCCTTTTATATTTGGTTTTTCTGCACTGTTTTAATAAATTATGGGATGGGTGTGATGTTGCTGGTGTGTGTGAGCAAGTTTTGCGGCTGATTTCTTTTTTTTTTTTATGTCCTTTATTTATGATTCTTTTTGATTCATTGGAGAAAATACAACAGCTTAATTATAACACCAAGGCACATTTTGTTTGTTGTAACTTGATCCTGTTATGTCTGATCACAGATAGACAGGAATCTAAATAGCGCTGACATTTTCTTTGCCTTTAGGGTTCTGGGCTCCCATCTGGGGGGAATAGACACAATGCACTTTACCAGTTATGTCCTAAGAGGCCACAAATTTTGGATTTGCTGAAATAAGATGTGTTTGGCTAAAAGGCGCAGATATCACAGCCTAGCGGCAAATCACAACATGAGAAGCCAGTCATCCTATTAAAGTGGAACGCAGGAGAAGAATAAGGCATATCTTTCAAGCTGACCATATATTTATGTAACCACTGTTAGAGAATCTGAGATGAACTCATATCTGTTTAAGGTTGACAGGCTGTTTATCTGCTTATTGCATAATGAAGTATGGTAGTCTCTAAGGACATCCTCTATGGGGGATTACAGATGGTGTCCAGGCTGCCCTCTGCTGCGAAATAAGATGTGTGCATGCAAAACATGAGGAAGAAATGATGAGAGCTGAACGTCTAAAAATAAACGCACTAAATACAAATAATGACAACAACGGTCCTGGGGTGCCATGCTATAATTGTGGAAGACGCCGGCACAGAGAGACTAAGCTTGTTACGTCCTGTCCTGAGACGTAGAGTAATGACCTGTCCTTGGCGGTCAAATAAGTGGTAGTCATCTCTGGCCAGATTATTCTGTTCATTTCTGACAGACTGGGTGGGCCTTTTCCCCCTCAAAATATGTCACTGCATTGCCTTCCTGTTCACATTCTGCTCTTTTCTTAGCAAGTTTACCCGCGGTTTCATTTCCTGGTATACCACAGTGGGATGGCACCCACTTGTGTACACAATACAGTTGTGGACGCCACCTTGCCAAGTTTAGGTCTCATGCGAGGTAGTTGACCACTTTTGTGGCACCGATAGCACATCTGTGTGAAGATGACCACTTGATGGCAGTCACAACTGGTGTTGTGTCAGTTGCTCTAGTGCTAGGATCTCTGCTGTGTAGTTGGGGCAGAATTTACCAGTGGGTATATATTCTTTGTATAGCAGTAGTCCTCTGTATATGTTATACAGATGAACATGTGACCAACTGGCAGATCATCCTTACCATTTAGTCTGTAAATGGCTGTCAATATCTCCGTGTGTGTTTGCTTACAACAAACACTATGTTTTGCTTTGATATTCTCTGCTGCTCCTCTGATGCTTGATTCATTTTGTCGTCCTGCTTTTCGGGTGGCAGTTGGTTTTATCTGACCAGTCTAGTGCTTTTCCGGTTTCTACAAGAACAGCAGGTTTACTGTCTGTTCTTTTTCTTTTACTCCCTCAAATCATAGAATATTAATTTGTTTTTGCTGTGACCTTTTCTAAAACTGCAACAACACCTTTCGAGCAAAGTCTATCTCCATCTTCATACATCATCAAACAATGCATCAAGGAAAGATTTAAACCCATACGAAAAATATATCAGCGAGCTTCACAGTTTAACAGACACATACGTACAAAACGTGAACGTTGCGGCTATAGAACCTTCGTCGGTGCAATTATAAATCAAACAAAACCACACCAATAGACAAAAATCACTTAACTCACGTATCTAGATGCAGCCACGTGGATGTCTTGCCAGTGCAATCACAGACAATGCATGTCCGATTGAAGGTCTGTCTATAGCCTGGCCAAAGTATATTCCCCGATGACGGGGAGAATAGATAAAGAAATATAAAACAAGTTGCCAACGAGCCAGTGCACTTATGTACCAACTTGTGTACCTAAAACTTATGTGAAACATAAGTATTAGCCCCAAGAAACATATTATAGACAACATATTCAAACCAACACTTTGCTACCAGTGCCACACTCGGACATTATCAAAGCTAATCTACGTAAAATTAACACCTGTGACATTAGATGCCTGAGAAAAGTCGCCAACTTAACCATTCGAGACGAAGTTAGACATGAAATATCTGGAAACAACACCTTGCAGCAGATTCTCTCAGAAGCAAAAAATCAAATGGTTTGGTCATCTAGTAAAAATGCAGCCAGGAAAACTATCAACGCAGGCACTACACACACAAAAAAAAGATCTGATACGAAAGCAAGAGGTCGCCCTAGGAGATGATGGATTGTTGGCATTGAAGAGCTTCTACGTCGCCACAGAGTGAC